AAAAAAAATTCACGATGCAAGTAAACGTAGTTTGTTTCTCGCGCCAATTTTATAACAAAAGACCTGACGCCCGAGGGAACAGTCACCAGTCACGGATCGGCGCTAACAAGAAGACATCAGTGTCCGACATGTTTAGAATTTGTGTTTCTTCAAGGAGACTTTCAACCCTTTACTGCTCAATAAGTCACCGCAAGGGAACGGTAAGTTCTTAAAAGTTGAGCTATAGGGATCAGCTTTTCGGGTGTGGTTTCTAAGTTGGCTCTTTTTAATGCGTACCAGGGTATTTTTTACGTCTTTTTCATTACCTGAAGTGTCAAAATATCATACGAGTGGTTTAAAGTATGAATTAATTATTAATTGACTACTACAAAAGGATTGAAATCCCCTAGGATTAAAAATCGATGCCTAGGCAACAGGTCAAGAACCAAATGAGCCAAGACAATCTTATTCCATCCTTCTTTTCGCTGCCGACAATGTGTCAAAGAAAGACAAGATTTTGTGGTCGCCATTTTTGTTCAGCTCCGTTCAGTTTAAAATGGTCTTCTTCCATCGCGTTTTTGTGGCAAGCACGTATTTATTTCCTAGACTCCCAGATTGTTCTGACTTTTTTAAAACAGAACGAACACGCAATAAAACGTTATTCAGTTGTAATTTGAGGGATAGTTTGAAAAAGACGTTAAATTTTATAGTCTCACGGTCAGCGCGGCATAAGCCGAGCACGAAGTGATCTGACACTACCTAGTAACTAGACTCCATTTCATTCATTTTTAAGTTGTTAAAAAGAAAACCCTTAAAAGGCTGATGCAAGCTTGTTTCGAAAGCGTTGAACTAATGAAATACTTTTCTCCATTTTTAATCATCTCTTTTCGTGACGATTTTCTATTTTGAAAATTGCCCCCTTCGACTATTATTTTTTTAGTAAGCAGGTACTATTTGAGCTCGAGTTTGAGTACCAGCACGTTAAGTTAACTTTCTGTGCAGCTTGCTTTAGAGATTTCCATCGACTGTAGGGTGCCAACTCCACCGAAAAAGGAAGAGTTTGAGAGCTCTTTAAATAAACTTATTAGCAGATTAGGTGGATTCTGTAAACCAAAGTGGTTTATGCTTATACATTTGTTTTCACAGAAGAAAGAAGCTTGTAAACGGTAAAACTTTCAAAACAAGTTTTAACATGAAAAGGGTCGTTTCTCTCATTTCACGAGTTTCTTTCTTAAGCTTAAATGATTTGTGGTGCTTGTTTGGGTCAGGTCGGTTCATCTATTCATCATATTAAAGAAAGTTCGCCGAAGTGGGTGTAGCTAATAAATGTGTGTTATTTCCGGAGCAATTTGAAAAATTCCGAAAAGAGCGCGCGGGTTGAAATTGAAGTGAAAACCCCGGGGTGAAAACATATAATTTATCCAAACATTGGCACGAATTTAGAGTCTTTGTTAAGGAATCCGTTGGTAAGCAATCGCCCAAAAAGAAAAAGATTTCTTAGATATTCGCAGTCTACAGCTTTTAGCTGTCTGTCGCAGAGATTTTCTTTTCTTTTTCTAGTAGCTCTACTGAAAAGGTTCAGTTTGGTTTGTCTGTAACTTCTCATAATCGCGGATTGCAATGATCACTCAGCTGGTTTTACATAAGCTTTCACTCTCGGAGAGCTGAAAACGTTACCAAATCTAAAGGCTTTCCAGTTAAGCTTAACTAGAAAACAAATGCTTATAACGTCAAAACGAGTCTGGTAGGCTGTTGTTAAGCTTATTTGTAAATTGTATTGTAGTTCACATGCTACTTTTAAAGTAAAAACTAAAATACTACTTTTTGCCAAGTGGTTCAGAGCCACTTTAATTTTTGCAAATGTTTGAGGTCACTGTAAATTCGCTCCCACAGTTTGTGACAAGTTGAATTTTGACATACTGACCGCAAATCCGCAATTCGATAATC